TTAGTATCAAAGAGCAAAGCCTGAACTAATATGCTCATTTTTTTAAAAAAAATGTAAACTGCAAGATGTATTGTCAGTGACCATATTTTGATAGTATTCAGAATTTTCATTACTTTCTCCAGTGCTTCCTCAAAATCAGGAGGCATACCATTTACTACCAACTGTTTACTGGGAATGAAACAATGTGTAGATTGGCATTCTAGTCAACTAATTTTTCATTTAGCAACATCATTTCTTTCAGCACAGATACATACTAGTGATTTATCACTATCAACCTCAATGTATCTGTTTACATGCAAAGAAAGCACTTCTGTAGCATGAGTTCCCATTAATAAGGAACAGAAATTTACAAGCACTGATAACCTTTCCTCACACATGCTAAGTGTAGATCCACATCTGATATCCATTTCTTCCACATATAAAGTGGAATATCTATTAATATTCCACAATTAATGTTAGATAGAATTGTGATGCTGACAGATTTTTACTCTCTAAGTAAAATACTCTATACCATCCATTATCTTTGTGCCTGATTTTACAAGGATCTAAGAAGTAATGTGAGACTTGTATCTGTTTTGCTATTCTATAACTTCAGCAACCTCTAACAGTCAACTTTGTGCTGGAAAACATTATTCAATACTAGTTCTAGAAAAATACCTATTTGTTTGACTGAATAAGTTTTCAAGCTTAACTTACACGCAGTTTCTTTCTTTCTATGTTTAAATATGTTTTTTTTAATTTTATTTATTTATTTATTTATTTATTTATTTATTTAATTTATTTTTTTGGAGGAGAGGGAGAGAGAGAAAAATTAATGCGAGAGAAACATCAACCAGCTGTCTTCTGCAGGCCCCTACTGGGGATGGAGTGCACAATCCTGACATGTGCCATGACCAGAATCAAACTGGCAACCTCTTGGTGCATAAGATGACACTCAACTAAGTAAGCCACACCAGGCAGGGCACAAAGAAAAGTTTCAATGGCTTCATGATTAGACTTCACAAAAAGCAAACACTTTTTTGGCTTTAGTGATTATAAAATAAAATAAAAAGCTAACAAGGAGCATTCAGATATTTAACATCATATTATCTACTTGAGCTTGTCCTTAGTTGCTTATTCAAATTTCAACACATCCAATTCACTTGTCTTGGCACACAGATTTAAATTGAATATTCACTCTGCAATGTTTATCACTATAAAATTTTACAAAATGGTTTTAAGGATTGTTGTTTTTTTGTTATCCTCACATGAGGATATTTTTTCCATTGATTTTTCTTGTTGTTGTTGTTAATGCTCACTCAAGGATACTTTTCCACTGATTTTCAGAGAGAGTGGAAAGGAGGAGGAGGGGGAAAAGGGGAGAGAGAGAGAGAAACATTCAAATGAAAGAGACACATTGATTGGTTGCTTCCCAAACATGCCATGACCAAGGCCAGGATTCAGGCCTGCAAATGAGGTAAGGGCCCTTAACTGGAATCAAACCTTTGACTCTTTGGTGTGCAGTTCAACTATCCACTGAGCCATTGCTTTTCAGAAAGTGAAGGGGAGGAGGGAGAGAACATCGATGTGAGAGAGACAGAGCAACTGGTTGCCTTTTGCATATGCCCAGTCCAGAGATAGTGAACCCACAACCCAGGTATGTGCCCTTGACCAGGAATCAAATGTGCAACTTTTTGGTGTGCAGGTCAACACCCTAACCATTTAACCACAGTGGCCAGGGCTTAAGGTGTAATTTTTTAAAATTGCATTCTATTGGTTAGCAGCGTGACTATTATTTAACACTAGAGGCCCAGTGCATGAAATTCGTGTGTGTGTGTGGTGGGGAGAGTAGTTGGGGGGTATCTCTCAGCCTGGCCTGTGCCCTCTCACAATCCAGTACCCCTCAGGGGATGACTAATGGCCAGCTTAGAGGTTAGAAAAAAAAGTTGTGAGAGAAAAAAACAAAACAAAACAGAGGCTACTTCAGCAAGGGTGGGTTCTGAAGAGCTAGGATTAACTTTCTGTGTGAAGATTTGCCATGCCATAAAAGAGGGGTGGAAAAAGTGAGTGTGTGTGTGTGTGTGTGTGAGAGAGAGAGAGAGAGAGAGAGAGAGAGAGAAAGAGAGAGAGAGGGAGGGAGGGGGGGAGGGGGGAGCACACACACATCCCCCCAAAGACTCTAGACTCTTTTGTTCTAAAGCACAAAACTTAGCTTTTCCCATATTTATCACATGTCTAAATACAAACTATCATGTACTTTAAGCAACATGTATTGGGAAGAAGAATGCAGCCTTAAAGCAAAGGGTGGGGGTGTAAGGAGTGAGTAACTCCTTCATCCCCGCAGCTGAAGCTCCTCAGGGGCTTGCCTCTTTGTGAACACACATTTATCTCTTGGCACATGGGAAGTCAGGGAGCGCAGCAGTACCTTGGGAGGGGAAGGTCATGGGGACTGCACCCGTGGTATCACCCCAAGTTTCATTTCCTCACCCTCCTGGGTTGCTTTCCACCCCACCACTGATCCAGTTAATGGGGTCGGAGGTCTGAAACTGGGTGCCTCCAGGTGGAGAGCGTGCTGTGGGCCGGGTAGTCCAGCTCTGAGGCCGCCTGTGGCAGCAGCTCAAGGTGTTCTGTCCCGCTGCGCCAGACTCAATCCAACTGGGTGTAGGGAGAGATTGGGTGGCTCTGCAGCAGGCAGCTCCACGGCTAGTACCTTTGAATTGCGTGCTGCTGGGGGGAAAAGAAAAGCCTCCCCAGGAAGAGGTTTTTTTTAAAAGCCATCAGGGCCAGGTGGTTAGCTGGCCTTCGGCCACACCCACCTTAGCATGGTGCCTCCTGCCACCCACCCCCGATTCCCCATTCCCCTTCAGGAGGTTGGCCAGCAGGCCCTGATCAGGCAATTGAGGTGGTCAGTGTGAGTCATAGCAACCAGTCGTTCTGGTCGTTTGGTCATTCAGCCATAACAATTGCTTAACGTTTTATATATATATATATATATATATATATATATATATATATATAGAGAGAGAGAGAGAGAGAGAGAGAGAGAGACATTGCAATGAACCACTTTTTAAAACTAGCCTATTTTGTGATTGAAGGATATGATGCAAACTAACAATAACAAAAATCAGATTAAAAAAAACACACATAAGCTTGCTTTTCCTGGAAAAGTAATCTGAAAGCAAAAATAACCTGCATCCTGTTTTAAATGTTAGCTAGCACCAAATGACCAATTTAGTCCTTCTGGCACAGGAACTTAAAAACTAGTTATAGAAGATCCTTAGGAAAAAAAACCTAAGCTTCTTGGCACCAATAACATAAGGGTGTTTTTTTTCTTTCTTACAGAAAAAAAAAAAGGAATTATGACCCATATGAGGAAGATCAAATTTAGTGTGTCTTTTCCTATTAGGAGATAAAATAAAATACTCATAACCTTAAAGCCCTTTGTCTAGCCTTCTCTTAGAAGAAACTTGTCTCTTTATAACTCAGTAAAGCTAAAGAAAGTGGTAGGTGAATTTTAGAGTAGGCAGAAGTCATAAATAGTTCTTCTGTGGGCCTAAAAATTCTCCTTGTGCACAGAAATTCTACGTAGAGCTTCACCTGTAGGATGTGGACACTCTGCTAATTGTCCCTAATCTCCAAACAAACAGAATTTCAGAATTCAAGACAATTAAAACTACTGAAACTCTCCATCTTCAGCCAGTTCACTGAAAAGAGTGAAGATAATATCTAAATATGGCTTGTATGTTGCATTTACTGGGATACATTGAACACATAGAATGCTTTTATTGATCTGTCTAGTGTCATAAAATCTACTGCATTTTTATGAAAATCTGCTTTTATTTTATGAAAGTAATCAAAGGGCAATATAACCCAGAAAGTACAGGTTTCCCTAAACTTCAGACAGTAGCATAGAAAGTAAAAGGTTGAGATATAAGGAGACTATAAAAGTCATACATTTTTCTTACATTTGTGAAATGTATGTAAATAAAATGTTTACAGTAGAGTACTTGGTACTGCAAGAGACCTGAAGATCACAATATCAAAGACACTAATCTAAGATAAAAGTGGCTGAACACTAATTTACTACTTATTAAATTAAATTGAACAAAGTAATTAGTAATCAATCTCTCAAGGAGTTTCCGGTTTTACTACGTTAAAATGCTATCTGCTCCCATAAATGTTGCACTTCTTTGTACATATTTAATATTTTGGTACAATCTTTCTCAAGAACAGCAATATTATCCATCTTTTTCTAATACTTTCTCACCAGCAACAAAATAAAACTCTAGTTTCAGGGTGGGGAACGTCTTGGGCTGTATAAGGCCCAAGAAATCACTTGGTCTGGCCCTCCCAAGGCATTAGGGGTGAGTTAATTAAATGTTTGACCAAATATAGCAGGCTAATTTTTAAGTTGATAATTTTGTATGGCCTGCAAATGATATAAATATCCAAATGGCCCTTGGCAGAAAAAAGGTTCCCCACCACTGGTTTAAATAATCTATTCTAAGGTAATAAGATGGACTCCAACTCATATCTGATTTCAAATGGGGTGCTGTTCCTCTGTGCTAAACTGTTCTCCTAACATTTGCAGAGTACCAAATATTTAAAAGGCACTTTCTTGGGGCAATCACCTTGGAAAACTGAATGTTTATGTTCAGATGTCTAACCACTAAAGAAACATACTATCAAAATTCTTGCATCTACCTATACTGCTTAAGGATAAGAAGACATTTATGCATTTCAGTAAATAAATGATATTAAAATAAATTTAAGGCAAAGTGTTAACAAGTCAACAGAGCCTATAATAATAAGAAGAAAACAATTCCCACACATAGTTGTCAGCAACTGACATAAAGAATTGAATATACATGGGCCAGTAATTGGTAACATGAGAGTAAGTAGGAAGTTTCTCCACTCAGCTGCAAAAGGTTGAGCTAATTTTTCATAACATAATTTATAAACAGCTACAAGACATCCTTCTATTTTGACTCAATTTAAAAGTAAAGGGATTATTTACATACTTTTCTTAATGTTTTTAGTTGGTGGATGTGGCTGAATTCCTCCAGCTGGAAGTCCATAGGTGCTTATTCGTTGTACAAGACTTGCTACATTCCCATGCCTTTCCCGTCTAATGGGCAAATTGTCATCCTTGGATTCTGTTTCTCTCTTAATTTCCTATAAAAGGGAAAATTAGGAAATAGGCAAATTAAGTTATATTTTATTAAATTCTCTATTGTAAAATGCTAAAACACAGTAAGTGACCTATAATAATAAAAGTGTCATATGCTGACTAGACTGGGCAGCCAAACGACTTTCCAGACGTCCTTCTGGATGAAACCGCCATGCCGGGGGCTGAAGAAGGCAGTCAAAATGGTTAGGGGTGATCAGGCAGGCAGAGTGGTTAGGGGCAATCAGGCAGAGGTGGGTAGGGGCGATCAGGCAGGCATGCAGAGCGGTTAGGGGTGATCAGGCAGGCAGGCAGATGAGTGGTTAGGAGCCAACAGTCCTGGATTGCGAGAAGGTGCTTGCCGGGCTGAGGGTACCCATCGCCCCGTGCATGAATTTCATGCTCCAGGCCTCTAGTTATTATATAAAACATGATATCAAAAGTTTTCAAACCTTTTCTATACCCACACAAATTTAAAGAATGCAATGCACTTCAGTGGCTTACTATGAGTGTAGGTCTAATCAGAATTGGAGATATAGGTAAAGAAAAGGAGGCTGAAACCCCACCTCCACCCCAACATATACTTGGCCCCCTGAAATACATTAATAAATTATGACAAACAATAATTCTAAGTCAGGGGTGGACAAACTTTTTCTAAAAGGATTAAATAATAAAATATTTTAGATTTGTGAGCCATTCAATCTCTGTTGAAACAATGCACTCTGCTATTTGAAGTCAGAAGCAGCCACATTCTTAAATGAATGAACATAACTATACACCAACAAAATTTTATTTATGAATACTAAAATTTCGATTTTATTTAACTTTATAATGTCATTAAATGTCATGCTTCCTTTGGTTCTCCCTCACCCCCCATTTATAAAATTTTTAGCTAGCATTCTTGGTTCATGGACTTTACAAAAACAGGAGGCATTCAGATTTGGCTAATCGGCCATAGTTTAATGAACCGTGTTCTAAGTCAGAGGCTAACAGAAGATATGCAAACCTTCATGAAAAGAAGTATAAGAGAAAAGGGAAGTTATGTCATGTTCAGTGATTTTTAAAAACTCAATTTAACAAAATATCAAATCTTTCTAAAACTGATGTAATGATTCAATGCAATTTCAAAAACACCACACAGATTTAGGAGAGCAATTTAATAAACAGGTTCTAAATTTGTACAGAAGAACAAAAGGTCAAGAACAGCCAGAATACTTCAGGGAAAAGAAAGTGAGGGGATTTTTTTTCTTTTTTACTAAGATATAGAGAAAAACTATGACACACTATAAATTAGTACAATATTGGCATAAAAACAGACATGCTAATAAATGAAACAAAATAAAAATCCATTTAAAAAAAACACACCACAACTTGATTTATGATAGACAAAAAGTAAGAAAAAATAGATTCTTAAAATACATAATATAAAACTAATGTTCCCTATTTAAGGTGTAGGGAATGAAATTGGACTCCTAACCTCACACATTTAATATTAAAATCAACAGTTTCTGTTCATAACAATTAAGCATTTAAAAAGTGAATCACAAACCCGAAGATATGTTTCACATACAAAGTTAACAAAATTTCTATCTCTAGGTGTTTGTATCTACCACAATGTTAACCAGTTGTTGCTCTCCAACTCAGTGGTTCTCAACCTGTCTAATGGCGTGACCCTTTAATACAGTTCCTCATGTTGTGGTGATCCCCAACCATAAAATTATTTTCGTTACTACTTCATAACTGCAATTTCGCTACTGTTAAGAAATCGTAATGTCGATATCTGTGTTTTCCGATGGTCTTAGGTGACAGCTGCTAGCGGTTGAGACCCACAGGTTGAGAACCACTGCTGTAAAAAAAGGGTCGCGGCATTAGACAGTTGAGAACCATTGCTCTAACTATCGTAGTAGGATTTCAGGTGATTTTGACTCCACTGTACTATATAAGAGTGTTTGATGCTTGCTTTTGTTTTCTTTTAAACAATGAATATTGTCTTTCAATCAAAATAAAAGTTTTTCATTTTGGAAAAACTGTTAAATTTGGTGGAGAATTGTGAAAAATTATTAAAGTATAAATTAAAGAAGACAAAATGCTTTATAATATAGTAGTTTCATTTTTATGGTAATTCGGTTAAGGAAAAATACTTCAATTTACTATTAATAGCACATGAGATATCAATATTTGAAAACATTACAGTTTTCGGACTACACTAAGTATGTTTCAAACATAAAATCTATGTGAAAACTGGTAGTTTACAAACTCAACATGCCAAATAGTATTCATTTTGAATTCTCCAGTCTCATAAGCTAACTAGGTTTTAAACAAATAAAAGCCATACCTCTGAGAGCTATTGTTGCTTTTTAGTATAAAATTCCAAGAATGTAGCTTGACATCCAAATCTGTTCTTCTAGGAACGTAAAGCTAGTTTAACTTAATGTGATTAAGTACAGAATCAGGCCCTAGTCAGTATGGCTCAGTGAATAAAGCACCACCTGCAGACTGAAGGGTCCCGGGTTGCAGGCTCAATCCCCAGTATGGGGCATGCAGGAGGCAGTAGATCAATGATTCTCTCTCATTCTTGATTTTCTATCTCTCTCCCTCTCCTCTCTGAAATCAATAAATATATATATAAATAAGTAAATAAAAGTACAGGATCAGGAGACACCTGACTTGGGTACAAATACTGGCATTATCCTGTTTACTAGTTATATAACTTTGGATACTTAAGTTATTTTTAAAAAAGAAATTATGTGAATAAATATATTTGAGACAATGTTTCCCATTTCTAAAAAAATTAATTTACAACATATTGCTCAAGATCTAGAAACATTTTAAGGACCTTCAAAATTCTTTGAAACATAATCACATCCAAGAATATTAGATATAATAAATTTGAGGGCAAAAGATATTAAAATGAAAGGGAGAAGCAAACTACTACATATATAGTCTACCCTACACAGGGAAAACTCAAGTTCCAGATACAAAATGACAATTAAGATATTATCACAAGTACCAAGTGGCCTCCAGGCTATAAGCAAAATTACAAATAAAGTTTACAATGGCTTCTCCTCAACCTCTTCCTGATTCTATCTACCACCAGGCACCTACTTTCTTTCTCTCTTTATCCCTTTCTCCCTTTCTTCCCTTCCTCCTCCTTTCTCACCAACCTACTAACCCAGTGGTCAGCAAACTCATTAGCCAACATAGCCAAATATCAACAGTACAATCCAGTGGTTGGCAAACTCATTAATCAACAGAGCCAAATATCAGCGGTACAATGATTGAAATTTCTTTTGAGAGCCAAATTTTTTAAACTTAAACTTCTTCTAACACCACTTCTTCAAAATAGACTTGCCTAGGCCATGGTATTTTGTGAAAGAGCCGCACTCAAGGGGCCAAAGAGCCGCATGTGGTTCACAAGCCATGGTTTGCCGACCACTGTACTAAGCTAACTTTCCCCCCCTGATTTTGAAAATGACTTTAGGAGATACAGTTAAAAAAAAAAAAAAAAAAGGGGGGGGGTGAGTCCTCACTGAGAAAGTATCATGTCTTGACAAAGCAGACTCAGAAAAACTATGAATCGCATTCTACAAATGAGGAAAGCCTCTTACATAACAAGTAATCCAGTTTTTCAGTCCAAAATTGGCCAAGAAAAAATACAAGATAGGGATAATTTCCAAATAGATAAGAATGTATTATTGATTTACTTTATTTGATAAGGGGTAAAAAATAACAATTAAAAGAAGTAAAAAGTAGAACAAAAAGAACATGAGAAATATAAGCAAATGAGGAAGCTAAAAAGATGGGAGAGAATATAGTTATTCTTCACCTATTAAGGTAATCAAAGATACTTAACTCTGATTACACTAAGCAAAACCAGGTAACTTGAAAGACTATCAATCCAAAATTCACAACCTGTCCTTTACGTTGTAATAAATCTATACAATAATTTGGTTTTCTGATCATGGCCAGTGCCATGATCATGATTTGAAAACAGAAATCACTTATGTTTCATATTATAAAATCAAAGGTCACAAAGAATAAAAACCAGGTAAGAGGTTCTTTTTTCTAAAATGAAGAGAGGATATCTAATCATTAAACTCCTAAACAGAGTTACAGATCTGTTTATGTTAATTAAAATTAAGGAATATACATAATTATTTTAAAGTTTACATTCAGGATTTGCAAAAAGTGTTGGAAATCCTAAATGTGACCTCCAACTTTACAGAAGCATAAATCAGAATGTATGGAAAAGTGACATTAATAATAAGAAAAATAAGATTAAATGTTTATTTGGTACCATATGCTATTCCAGCTAACAAGATAATTAACCCCATTCTTAAAAATCTTACTATGAAATCTATATGTATTTCTGAATGCTAGCATATCAGAATCATCAAGGGAAACAGTAAAAATATAATGTAGGAAGGCCATTTTGAAAGTTTCTAAACTTACTTTTCTTCTTCCCCAAATAGGCTATTCTCCATGAAACCACTGTCTCTTCAATTTGGACAAAGGGCTCCCTATTTCAATTGTCCCTCACCCATTTGTAAAAGGGAAGAGTAGGAAAAGGGGTGGAGGATTTATGTAGATTTATTGGGATCCTACTCCTTTCTTTTTCCTATCACGAGAATGTTAATGACAGCCAACTGAAGTAGGTTAGAAAAAACACTAAATAAAGAACTCTTCTCCTACCCATATTCTTTCAGACATACCACACTGGTCAAAATGAACTGAAAATACCTCAATAACTTATAATGGTCATCCTTTTTATTAATTTTTTTAAAATGCTATTTGTGTTTTCAGCGCTAGGATAAAGGAGTTTTTGGATAAGAACAGCAGGGGATGAGGACTAGTCTATGACTCAAAAGACACCAAGCCTACATGTAGATCCTTTTCTCAAAACTCATAGACTCCCTTGAGGCCACAGATGACAGTGACAAGCAGGCAATGAGTACTGACCTAATAAAAAGCAAAACCAGGAGATATCCCAAAAGCTCACTTTCTGCCA